TTTTTTACCTGGATTATTGAGCATGAACTTTAATGTTTTGAAAAACTTTGGCTATGGCTGCCTCAGACGAGTCGACAGGGGAGAGGGTGGACTCCAGAAACCATCTTATCACCAGTAAACTGGTTGGTCCACTATGTGAGTGCTGCCTGTGAGACTGAGTTTGTTGTGGCTCCTCGTACTGACGAAGTCCTATGGATGAAGGACGAAATGTTTCAACAACAAAATAAAGAAACCATCCAGATGACCTGACAACTTTGCTGGCTTAATGGTGTAACTTTTTGATTATATCAATAGTATTTTTCCTCAAAATTATAAGGCTTTCTAAACAATTACAACAATTTTGTGCAGATGTTTCCTTTCTGCTCCATAATATGCAGCTCCTGAATCCAAGTTCATGCTGTCAAAGCTCTGACTCCAGATGTGGCAAAAATTGGTATTTTAAAAGCCTGGACTTCCAGTGTCATAGTCAGAAGCATTGCTGCAGATCCAACGTGCATCCCTGACTTTGCCCGGTCCAGAGAGAAGAATCTGAACTGTGTGCTTCAGCATAAAAGCTTGTCATCAACCTCTTTGATTTTCTTCACCTCCTTGTCGGTAAGCAGTGCTCCACAAAAATCCGGTTTGGTGCCATCAGGTACAACCCTTATCAACGGTAATATTTTGGTTTAGCTTGTCTCACCATGACCTGTTTAAAGAGATAAGTTCAACAGCCATATGTACACTGTCTTCAGCAATGGTGTTAGATAATGGTGCTGCGTTTTGGTTGGAGCAGTGGGCAGCTATAGAAAGCGCCCAGGGAGCAATTGGAGATAGGGTGTCCTGCTCAGAGACACTATGAGATATGCAATGACTGGGGATTGAACCTAGGACTTTGATGGGGCAGCCGACTCGCGACCCCATTCAGTTAAATCAAAACGAGACCTGGAGATTGAGCATCTTATAAAAAGTTCGCACCTGAAATAAATCTTCTGTATTTAACCTGTAATTGTACTAAAGTAACTTCTCATACAAAGTTTTCTTTTTAAAGCTGACCTCTTGATGTTTTGAAGGAGGGTGTTCTTTTATAATTCAAACATCTTTTGATCCTTTTTTGCACACCGGCGTGCTCTCCTTTTTAACACACATTGATTTGATCACACCTTTGTCGGTGCCTTCTGCTGTATGGATTTGTTGTTGTTGCCCAAGGAAGGTTTGTTTCACTCACACTCCTTTTACCACATCTTGTTTCGTAGCAACGGCTTTCAAAAAGCTGCACTTAGGATCAAACCCAGACCTTTTAGCTTATTAACAAATCCAAAGAATAAGAAAGCAAAAACTAAAAAAAAAACAACAAACATTTAAAGTGCACAAATAAAAAAAAAATATTTAGTGTAAAATATTTAATAAGATAACCAACTTGTTAAAGTGTTTGCAGCTAGTTAAGACGACAAAACCCATATAAATCATTTAACATCTCACTGAGTTAGCAAAAAAGCTAATACTTGTTCTCCAATAATGGACTCAGAGATGTGTGAAGTAATGAGTTGTGATGAGTCTGAATAATTTCTTTTTTTTTTTTCTAAAACATTTGAAAAACAATTTAACCAGCTGTTTTTATGAAACACGCTCACAGGGTCTTGCATTATTATACAAGAATTTTCTCGAAAGCTTTTCTTGCCCACAGGGTTAAATTTAGAGCAAAGCCTTGGCAACAGTTGGGCTCACAGATTAAATAAATTGGTACGGATGGAGGTTTATGAAAATCACATCTTGCCAACAAGTGCAGCTT